AATTTTATATCAATTTTAAAACAATTAAAAATCTTACTATTGTTTCATCAAACTCCTCTCCTTTAGGATTGACACAGACAACCATTCGGACTTTTCCCTCTCCATCAAAGTAATTCTTAAACAGGTGGGTCAGCTTGGAGTCTCTGTAGGGAACCATCTATAACACATAACATAATCAGTTAGTCAACACTTAAATCCTCAACAATGGTTAAAAACGAATTGGTATCTATCAAAGCTAGTAGAAACTTAGGCATGGATTCAATTTTTTCGACATTTTTAGCAGGAGTGTTGAGATCACTAAAATTGAAAATTGTTATCAATTTGTTCTACACTGGAGAAAACAGTTAAGAACAAATTGCTAAATTAGTGTCTTGATAAAAATTCTACTTAAGATAATGAATTTGTTAAAGTTCAAAAATAGCAGATTTAAAACTAGACCAGTAAGAAATTTTCAATCATGATCTGAGTCTTCTGACATGGTTTCAATATTAAAATCTATTTACTCTTCTTCTCACCAAGGGAAATATAAATTACTCAGACTAGTAACCCTGAGACTACCTTGTTGGAGTTGTTTTTCTGGTTCTCACGTAGAATCTCTATACAGTTCCTAAGGGCCATCAGAGACTGGTTTATATTTCCTACAAACATAGAAACATATGATCATCAGACTCAAATATTTAAAGGAATTTACTTTATACCTTTTACACATAAAACCAACAAAATTAATTTTTTGTTGTAAAGAAATTCAGTGAAAGACAGTGCGTCATTTGTACATACAGGTAAAATGTTCCTTGCAAAGAAAGACAACCCTAGCATTTCAAAATCATTTCCATTCAATGTACAAGAAAAAAATCTAATTTTCAATGGATTCGTCCTTCATCTATAATGAAATTGAATGATGCTGCTGCTTGTAGCTTATCATATACATTTAATACTAATAGCAATCAAAGATGAAGATAGTCATGGACAAAGCAATGTACTGACCTGCTTCTTTGAGCCTGTCCCCGGCATTCTTTGTTCTGTGGGTCCTCTCACTCCCCGCCAGGTCCACTAATGACAGCTGACTCACACAGATCTTGTCGGGGTCCTGTTAAGTGTTAACACAAATTATTATCAGTAGTAAACAACATTGTTATGGACAAATATATTTCACTTTGTTCCTATAATTGTGTATACTATGAGTTCTTACATCAACATAGAGGATTTTTTCTAGTTTTTAAGTGATATATGATAAAATAGTTAGACACGATAAATTTATGGTAATAACTAAGAAATGTCATTTATTCAAAACAATAAATGGCTACAAAAATTTGCTAAACTTTGCTATACAGTGCAATACAACTTCTTTGGTATGCATTGTAATGTACTTTTACCTCTGAATTATGACTATTTCTGAAGACTTACCTGTAAGACTTCCTCCCCCCGGGGGTCTAGGGGGGCCTGGACCAATCGGATGTTAAAGATACTGTGACTACGACTGGACTCGGCATTCAGAGCTGTGTGGGCCACCTTACGTCTCTTCTGACCTGTAATGTTATAATTAAATAAACTAATAATTAAATCAGTGAATCAGAATGTTAACAGACAAAATTATATTGTGTAAAACACTTTTTGTGCATGGTTATTGAAGCATTATTTTGCAAGACTGCCTAGTTGCAAAAGTTAACATGTTGACGATAAAATTTTTTAAAAAGGTAAAACTACCATTAAGGGGGCCTACTATAGTTTTATTGTGTGAAAACTACAATAGCGAAACTCTTCATTTTTATACCATATATAAATTACATTAACTCAAGTGTACATGCTAAGTTTGGGGGATATCTACCGTCCAGGTATTTTTGAGGAACCGTCTCAAAATACAGGTACATTTACTATAGGATTACATAGGAAAATGCCAATTTTTAGCACTTTAAGGTAAGGTTTGCGTTTACAGGGAGATAACTCTTGCGAATCACCAAAGCGTTTGAAACAGGCGAATTTAAACCAGCGATGCTAAGCATCTCGGTAACGAATTTCCTCTGTCATACTTGATGTTTGTTGTCACTTATTGTTAGGACTAAAAACAAAGGCCGTTTTCAGGAGAAAGTCTTATAACAAATCAAAGCATAGGAATCTTACAAGCCTTTGAGATTAGCGTGATGCATGTGGATGAACCAATAAAGGAGGACTTGTTTATTTTGAATTTTTTCGATACGGAACGTGGCAAGTTGCACGGCCATTCCGATCAGAAGAAAGTCATTGACGCATTGTGCTGTTGTGTGTTTCTCGCTTCACCACTACACTAAAATTTTAAGTGAGAATGGGAAAGAAAAAAGAAAAGGCCTGAGAGTATCCTGTAAAGTATTATGCTATATGCATTCCAAACCAGGAAGAAAAGTCACGGTGCATTTGACCATGTCCAATGATGATGTTGACAGTTTGATTGTTGATAGTATTTTCATCAGGTAATTATTTAACTATTAATTTTACTGAAAGTTATGAATGATCTAATGACTACGGATTTGAAAAAGATGAATAAACGGTACAAGGATGTCAGGATGTGACTAATATCCCAACATTGCCAAAAAAATAAAAATGCATTCATTCAAGAAATTATGAAAAATAAAATCCTTGCGTTTTAAGCCTAATATTTGTAACATTATTGGAACAGGTATTCAATTGTTCAAGTTACCTTTTTAAATGAGGCTTGATTTAATTAATATCTCATTTTCTAATTAATAAAAAAAGAGATACAGATTGTGCATGACAAGAACATTAATTTTCTTCATGATCAAGCATTTGCATTTCACTAATTCAATCTGTAAATTTTACAATAATTTCATATTGATTCTTCATTGATTATATTGGAAATTTATTCTTTTCATTGAGTGAATGAAACTCAGTGCAATTCCTTATGCAATTCCAAAAATGCAATTCCTTAAATGTTATTGTAAAATTGAACACATATGATTTCAGATCATGGGTCATTAATTGGAATGGATAAGAACCAAAAAAAGTACTTCAGTGTTTCCTTAAAAGATTTGTGCCATCAATCAAAGTAGAGTTCATCCTATAATAGCTCAAGAATATTAAAGAATGTTGGATGGATCAAGCTAAGATGTTGAACCAGACATGGCAAAATCAATGGAGATTTGGAGAAGAACTTCTGACTTGTTATACCCAATGCATATTTTTATATGTCTATAGATTATAGAAGAAAATTTAATGTTTAACAACATCCTATCTAGTATATACATGCTGTTTTCCATATATTTAGAAAATATGTGTATGTGATGATTGCAGTGCATGCTCTGTTTGTCCATCTTTGAATTTGTTTTCAGTAAAATAAATGTATACATCATAGGTATTAATTGAAGGTTGCTTTTGTCTATACTTACATGTAACAAGTTTCTTAAAAGGGTTAATAAAATTGCAAGGAAATTAATACATGAACAATTAAGATTAATATTTTATTCATTAAATTTTGTTCTTACCAGGACCTAATATGCTCAAATAAGTATTTCTGAAAACTGATGAGTTTTGAACATAAAGCTGCAGTGAACATGTATAATTATATCTACTGTAACAGTTTAAAACATCTCACTTGGAAATTATAAGGTTGTTAATTTAGTAGGAATGATAAGACCAGTTTAGTAATCTACTAAAATTAAAATCTTTCACAAATACATGTAGTTTATTTTAAAATTGTTTACATTTATAATCTTTTAATTTTTTCTGTATTTTGATTTTAAAAAGGAGAAAATTTTGTTATATTTTAAATTATTATTTCATGGATATCAAGGAGATATATCTATCACTGTAGCATTGTTTCTTTTTCCCTGTTCTTGACAAATATTTATGACAGTGTTTTGTCATTTTGCAGAATTTGCCTTTTCTCTGAAATCAGAAGTACTCTGTAAACTCATTAAAGTATGAATTGATGTCTCTTAGAATTCATCTTTATTTTGTTCTGTCTGATATTTCAATTTAGATTCTCAGACTACCTAATCCAATGAGCTAATGTCCATGAAGTGTAGAAATAGGCCATCTTTAAAAAATGTTTGGTTGTCGGCCTCTCCAGACAGACTGACTAAAATGACCAGACTGAAAACTTTTTTTCAATGCAGGGCCGTATTTTTTTCTATTTATTCCTCTTATCCCCCTTAAAAAAATGTTGTTGAAGATTTTCTCACCTACCGACCCAATAATTTTACCCTGAGTCAAGAGAGGGCAAACAAACATTACTTTAAATATAGCATTTCTACTCTTCGAAGTAAAGAAATCATTTAATTATGAAAACAGCAGCTTCGTGGATGCAATGCTTACAACATTTCACTCAAAAAATGACATACATGTATAATGACAGTTACCAGCCATAACTGAATAAAGATATTTCGCTACAAAGAAGTCTAGAAGTTACTACATGTTGGAATAACTAAATAAGCATGAGGTCAAATTCATAGGCTTTTAATTGGTTTTGTTGCAACATGTTCTGAGGTATGTTTATATACATATACATGTACTTTTGAAGGTGTTGCAGTATAATTCATGGACAACTTCATCAGAATATTTAGATGTAAAGATTGCCATAAATACTAGAGTTCTTCCATGGAATAAATTTTTAGACCATCATGTAGCACAGGAGGAGTTTTATTTTGAATATTTTTGGCCTATTTATGCCTAAAAACAATATCAAAAATAACATTTAATCTTTAACATTCACCATGACAAGGTGATATCAATGTTGTCTTTAAAAGTGTAGAAAAAGCCTGATTTTTATGTTCCGAACACATAATATAGCCCCTGTTTCCATGGAAATAATATTGGGGACATACATATTTTTTTAGTTCAAATTAATGAAAATGATCAAATTAATAACTTCATGGATTTTGATGGAATCGGTAGATATGTAAAACGTTGATTTTTATATTTTTGTTGCCATGGCAACGGTTTCACTTTATCAATGAAAATTGAAAAATCTTCTTTTTTACCCAAATTTTCACATTTTTGATAACGGAAAATTTAAAGTTTAAATATTAGAAGCATGAATTTTACTAATTTAGGTCATTTTAGTTATAAAAGTTTGATAATTTATAAAATAAATCAATTTTTTCAATGAAAATAATATTCGAGGTGAAATATGAAATACGTTAAATTTGGCGTCTTTTACTAAAAATATGGGACGGGCAATATCTTTGAAAATCATATTAAATGATGAAGCTAATCTCCCTGAATAAATTGATATACAGCATGTGTGCATATTAAAAAAAAAAATATGAGTTGGAGGGAGACGCAAACCTTACCTTAAAGCAAATTATACAAATACTACAATAGACATTTTGTTCAAACTATAATATTTGATGGGTATTACTATATCATACAATATATGTAAGAAACACAAAATTCTACAGTCCTGTGACCAGAGGGGGCATCTCAAAATGCAAAAAATTAGCAAATTTTACTATTTTTATAGAGTACTACAAAATATGACGTACACAATGGATTCACATGAAAACATAATAAAAAATATTGGAGATATTCTCAAATTTCTAAGTTTTAAATTTCAAGAGCGTATGTTTATTACTTTTTCTTTAATAATATTTTTATTACTCCTTTCTTTAAAGATACAGGTTATCATAACGTCAAAAACACACTGCAACGGCGTCAACCTACCTATCAATTGCAAAATCGGTTAAAAAATCAGTTTTATCAAATTGTAATTACATTTTCATACCTATAATTTCTTAATTTTGTTTAATTTTAATAATTAGGCGAAAAAAGTTGCATAAAAACAGTAAATACGCTTCATTTTACTATGATGCGCGAAATATTGTGCAATAGAAACTATAGTTGGCCCCCTTAAATCACATTGTACAACATATAACACTGAATATTTAGGACATCTTCAGCCTGTCATGGTACAGTACCTTTAAAGAGAACCTCAAATGCCTCCTCTGGACTGGTGATCTCCACTTCTACACAGTTCATCACGTACATACAATCACTGGAGTCTGTCCTCAAGATCTTAGTCTGGGGAGGTCTACAACACAGAGACACACAATTATTATGTTAATCCAATGTATACATTTCACATTATCTAGACTGGTGCTGTTACACATCACCTAGACTTGAAATACTTTATATATATATATATATATATATATATATATAGACTTGCTTATTATCCAGTACTATAGCAATGTCAAGTCACTGTATCTTTGAATTCAGATGTGAGATCCTATGGCCCTGCGACTTACTTGTAACCTGTGATGGGGTCGTATGGCAGTTCCTCTAACAGATGATCATACATGTAGTCGTTGTAGATTTCTATGTAGGAAGTGAGGTCCTATGACTTACTTGTAACCTGTGATGGGGTCATAAGGCAGCTCCTCTAACATGTCGTACACGTAATTGTTGTAGATTTCTATGTAGGATGTGAAATCCTATGACTTACTTATAACCTGTGATGGGGTCGTAAGGCAGCTCCTCTAACAGGTCGTACACGTAATTGTTGTAGATTTCTATGTAGGAGACAAACACGGCGTACTGGTTGTCATCGTCCACGCTGGTCAGAATGGTTGGATCACTAATCCTCTCCTGGTCACCAAAGTTACCTCTGTAAACACACAAACTTAATGTATTTTTAATCAAAAATAATAGTTTACCCTTGATGTATATTTAAGTAAACTTTCTTTTACTTGACTGTCTTGAAAATTTACACAAGTATTTTTTTCTGGGACGATGAAATTAGATTAGGCACAAATATGACAAACTCTTCTCTCAAGAGTACCTTTTGTTTGAGCCAGGTGGTGGTAGTTCCTCAACAAGTAAGAAGTTGGTTTGTTTTACTTTTTTTGCCTTCTGTTTGAGGTTTTTTTTGGGGGGTGGGGGTAGGGACTGGTTGTCTTACCTTCTGTTTGAGGTATTTTTGGGGGTGGGGGTAGGGACTGGTTGTCTTACATTCTGTTTGAGGTATTTTTGGGGGGTGGGGGTAGGGACTGGTTGTCTTACCTTCTGTTTGTGGTATTTTTGGGGGGTGGGGGTAGGGACTGGTTGTCTTACCTTCTGTTTGTGGTATTTTTGGGGGTGGGGGTAGGGACTGGTTGTCTTACATTCTGTTTGAGGTATTTTTGGGGGTGGGGGTAGGGACTGGTTGTCTTACATTCTGTTTGAGGTATTTTTGGGGGTGGGGGTAGGGACTGGTTGTCTTACATTCTGTTTGAGGTATTTTTGGGGGTGGGGGTAGGGACTGGTTGTCTTACCTTCTGTTTGTGGTATTTTTGGGGGGTGGGGGTAGGGACTGGTTGTCTTACCTTCTGTTTGTGGTATTTTTGGGGGGTGGGGGTAGGGACTGGTTGTCTTACCTTCTGTTTGTGGTATTTTTGGGGGTGGGGGTAGGGACTGGTTGTCTTACATTCTGTTTGAGGTATTTTTGGGGGTGGGGGTAGGGACTGGTTGTCTTACATTCTGTTTGAGGTATTTTTGGGGGGTGGGGGTAGGGACTGGTTGTCTTACCTTCTGTTTGAGGTATTTTTGGGGGGTGGGGGTAGGGACTGGTTGTCTTACATTCTGTTTGAGGTATTTTTGGGGGTGGGGGTAGGGACTGGTTGTCTTACATTCTGTTTGAGGTATTTTTGGGGGGTGGGGTAGGGACTGGTTGTCTTACCTTCTGTTTGCGGTGGGTGTTTTAGGGGTAGTTATGCCTGGCATTATGTCCCTCTTTTGTCGTTCTATCATGGCATCAGCTTCAGACTGCACCTCAAAACCGTTCATCTTGTCGGATTTAAAGACCTAAGAAAAACATGATTAGACTTGGATGTACTGGAGTTCATTTAGCTTCATATTTCATGACTTTGGCATAAAAATAACACCTTTATTAACTGCTACTTAAATACAGCTACCTCATCCTATTCTTATATTTACATAAAACTCAATATTTCATGAAAACAACCCAAATTTTGTGTCCAAAGTAAAATGACAAAATGACAGCATTACTTATTTTTTCAGTTTACTCCCAACCCTCTAGACTTATTGTCAGAAGAGGAAGTATTTTGTGCTATTTAAAAAAAAACTTGTGTGTCCCCATTGATATTATTGTTATCTGAATAATAAAGGCTGCATTTCTACAGAGGCTCGTTCAAGTACAATAATTCTCTGTCATAAACATGATAAAGAAGGCTAATGTTAATCTCTATGATGGGTAATGAGTCTAATCATAAATGACTTACATATTTCTTGGCCTGGACCCCACTGATGCTGTTAAACAGGACGTCTAGACATCGTGGGAGGATCCCCTGATCCTTGGGGGTGCCTGTCATCGTGTAGGTCTTACCAGAGGAGGTGATTCCATAGGTGAACAGCAGCCCTGTAAAACAGTACAGCTAGTAGGTTAGATCCTAACTATAGAAATTAATGGTGACCAGGTGAAGAATGTCTACATTTAAGGTTACCATAATCTCTAAATCATGTACATGTATTATTAAACATGTGTATTGTGTAACAATTTATTTATTGCTGGAGGGGTGTTTCACTGGATTGATTGATTGTATACTGTTTAATGTCCCTCTTCAGAATATTTCACTGATATGGAGACGTCACCATTGCCGGCGAAGGGCTGCAAATTTAGGCACTTACAGCCTTTGAGCAGGGAGGGATCTTTATCGTGCCACACCTGCTGTGACACGGGGCCTCGGTTTATATGGTCTCATCCGAAGGACCGCCCCATTTAGTCGCCTTTTATGACAAGCAAGGGGGTAATCCGTACTGAGGACCTATTCTAACCCGGATCCCCACGGGGCTGTTTCACTGGATGTACGATACATTGTTTTCCAAACGTCAACTCATTTTATTAAATTGTTTATTCTCATGACATCCACATTTGGTTTCACTTTTTTCCAAGCCTTGGTTGTCAATTAAATGTAAAACACATGCATGGAGCAATTTAATCTGAGCATGATATGATAAGTTGATGTGTTTGAGTTCACAAATACTACTAACTTTTCACTCTATTAATATATGCACATTTCTTTAAAAACATTCTGTAAATTTGAAGATCATCTCATAGAATCAACAATTACCATTTTTGCCCTTAATAAGGTCGTCCACCAGGGGGCAGGCCACATAGTCAAACACGGCCTTCTGTGATGTGTACTCATCAAATATGTACTGGAACGTGAACTGGTACTGTATAATACAAAAGGAAAGTAAGAAACCACATATACCTGCAGACTGAGTGACACGAAGATAAAGTACATGTAAATGGATATATCTGAATGAGAGAAAACCTTAACAGAGGAGAGCATGCACATATTTTCCTTGTAGATTTTTAATTATGCATAGGTATTTTTTTTAAATCTTTTTGCACAGGTTGCACTGCAGGTAGAAAAATTCTTTTAACTGTCTTGATTCAAAGAATTCATTGTTGCATATTTTCAAAGACATATTGCAAGACCTGGGAACTGTATTATTATTTTTTTTTATTTTAACCTTAAAAAATTTGTAACATAACAACATCTTCAATCTTAGTAATTCGAATTTGATTGGACATGCCTTTAGACTACACAAGCAATTTCTGACAAAAACCAGAAAGTCTTATGGAGCTGATATAAATACTAGCCCAAGGAAAATTCAGACTTGAAATTTTCATTAATTCTTACCTCTTTGATCTGTCCATTTCTGGCCACTGCTAAAGAATTCTGTAATAATAACAAAAACACATGTACATGCTGTGGACAGGGTAAACAGATGTATGTATACTTCTTTTCTGTCAGATATTTTCCCCTTTGCAATTTGCATGTAAAATCACATATAACTTTGGAACAAACCTAGATGATTTTACAGCCATTGATATGATACAGAAATCACTATATTAAAAATTCGTTTGTGGTATGATTAGGATGGCATGTCAACCGATTACACAGATTTTTGTTTTATGAGATCATACAAAACTCTGATGTTATTTATCCCAGTCCTACCTCAGGTGGTATCAACTGAACCACTGTGGTGCTGAGTGGCTTTACACAGCATGAGTCATTAGGATTATCCAAGGGGCGGACCCGGCAGTATACCTAGAAACAAATAAAATGGTTGCTTAATACATGGCTCTTATTGCTTAATTTCTTCATTGCTCTTTCAATAAATTTTGGACATGATACATTCTGACATTGAAATCCACTAAATTTTTTACACCACAAGAATTACTTTATCATAATATCTTTCTCTTCAATCATTAAGATGAAGAATTAATAATCTGATACTTGTATTATATATGTACTTGCAAGGTAATTTTTTTGGTAGTATCTGTAAGCTGTTCATGAGTTGACCAGAAGATAAATGCAGTATATATTGTATAATTTTCTGAATTAATGTTCTTGTAATTATAAATTTACCTCTACTGGGTCGACTTCCCCTTTCTTCTTGGAGTTTTTCCCTCTCCTGTAAACAAGACAAAACTGTTTAGCCAGCATCACTGAGTATATTCTAAGCCTAGGTAGTTAGGGGACAAGCAAAAAGAAGCACCAGTTGTTTTTCTAATTATTTCAGTTCATATCACATCTAGCTGCAGAACTGTAGTGGTATGGTTTTATATTTTCGTCTTTGACCATAACACAACATATTCAGAAATTAAAATGTACAATTTGCGACGCAAAATTTCTTGTGCATGATTGGTAAAATTTCTCAACTTTCCATCTTTGGTCAATCAATTACCTATCACTCTACAATTTTAGATAAATTCTTTAACTAATCTGTGTATTTCATTAACCTCCAAACCCTTCATACTTGTCTCTACAGAACAGTATACACTTGTTTTGATTTTTGTCAGATAGCAAAAAATTCAAAACAAGCTTATTTTTTGCTCTTTATTGACAACTGTAAAGGGTTGGGAGGTGAATAAAATACTCACACTGGTTTAAGAATGTGTCTAGAATTAGGGATTGAAAGGTAATTGACTGACCAATGCTGGATAAAGGAAAAATTCTTTCCAACTGTGCACAGGAAATATTGTGCCGTAAATTGTACAATATTTGCATTACAGGATCTGTAGCGATATGGTCAAAGACTAATATATAAAACCATAATGCCACAGTTTGCAGCTATATTACACACCCTACCAGGTTAAACCTGGCCTTCTTTGTTATGTTTCCTTATAACCAAAGTAATGAAGGAACAAATAATAACAGGATGGAGAAAACTTTAAATTTTCACATTTCTAAACTGACAAACTCAAACTAATTTTTTAAATTACACAATGAAAGGAAATACATGCTTTGAACGATAATTATTTTATTATCTGTCACTGGTAGGCCTAGTCAAGTCACATGAAAAACTTAAGAGTCTAAACATATGACAACAAAGGATGGTCTTCACCATGTTTACAGAGGAATGGCGGACTAAGACCAGTTTTGTAGACCTTACCTATAATCATATACAAATTCAGTCACTAAAAAATAATAAGCTAGTATCAAACTGTGTATAAATTTTGAATCAGGCCATTTGTAAAAATGTTTTCAATCATGTCCATCTTTGTTTGTCTGAAGATTGAATGGAGGAACAAAACAGGTTTTAAATCACATGCATCGAAAATGTTCAATTATCCCCTCCATAAACATATTTTCTCTCTGTCTTAATGTCAATAAAATACTTACTGTGGCTTCATAATTTCATAAAAATACAACACATCTGTAAGAAATTATTCGAGAGGACTGATCGCTCGTGTGTAAACAATGTTTCTTCCGTGCTCGTTTAAAATTTACCTCGGAAAATCACATGACCAATCGGCGCTCTTTGCTAGCGCCTCTAGCGGATATAATGACAAAAAGGTAGATAACTCTAAATAATTTGCAAAAGTTGCAATAAGCAATGATATTTTGATTACACGGTCACCGATGATTTAATCACTCTCAAGAAATAAAATTAAATTTGTATAAATTAAATGCTGACAGGGACCTATATACTAGTTGGTATATAGGTCCCTGATGCTGACTATTCTATTTATTGAAGATTCTGTCTGTTTTTTGATATTATAGTATAAATATATTTTTGAATGAGAAGTTTTATATCCCACCGCTGTTTAAGCAGTTGGTAAGCGTTATTTGTTTCAAATATAATTTTACAATATAAAAGATTGGACAAAAATTCTTACAAAATATTTTAGTTCCTCTTCAGATTTATTATAAAATTTTGTCATACAAAATAGGTGAACAATAACTTTGAAAAAATAACTTAATAATTCTTCTTTTTCATTCAGTCAAATTAATCATTTATCCACATATAGTTTGACAAAAATATGAAGCCCGAATCTTAAGAGAACAAGCACCAAGGCTTCACATTCTTTTAAAACAAACGAACAAAAAGAAATCTACATCATATAAGAAATGTTATTGAATTTAAAAGTGCCAAATATATGTATTGCTATTTTGTAATTTTGTTTTTTAATGAATTCTACATTATTTGAGACCCAGACTCCTGGCGTTTTCATTTACGTAATGCAAATATGTTCTATAGTTCAAATTAATTATTGGGATTCGTTCAAGAAAGAAGTTATCCTTTTTATTCAAGGATGTGAGCTACGTTTACTTTAGCGATTCACTATAGATATATTATTTATTTATCAATTGTTTAATATGTATATAGTAACGAAGAATTTAGTTATACATGTGTTCCAGTATTCAATATTTTTCATATAATTTCAGACGAAGCAGAATCCAATTTTGAAAACAATCATATGTCTACCTAGCTATTAAGAAAAATTCTACAGCGTCCTGCCCTTTTCTGTTTTTCGATCTTACCTTTCGTTCACTTTCGGTGTCGTTTTTTCATTATTTGTTACTGGAGATCCCACCCACTTTGGGCGAAAATAACAGATATTTTCCATAATCCATGCGCCGACCCGTGCATCATCGGTGTGTGACATCACTTTTGACGTCACAATACGTTTGACGTTTAATGTTATATCTCTGACAAAAACGTCAAACTCACAAAAGGAATTCAGGGGCCCGTTTTACAAAGGAACTTACGACTAAGACCAAAATCTTGAGTTGTTTATAAAATTTTGCAAAATTAATGATTTTATTTAAAATTACCAGTGTAAATTATCTCACTACATTCCTTTCAAAAAGATGAAAACCGTTTCAATATAATGTAAATTAAAAACATGTAAACAGAATAAAATTTTTGTCTTAGTCGTAAGTTCTTCTGTAAAACGCACCCCTGTTTTATCTTTTACAAGCTGCTTTATTTGTATAAAAAGTACATAATATGATTTGAAATTGTACGTACAATTAATCAATATTTTTTCTTCGTCTGTCGAGAATCGTGAAAAATAACAAATTGTAAATTCCTCTATTATTTTTTTTAATTGGTTGTACATGTTTTTTTCTGCAATGAAAATGAGTATCTATCGACAAATGGAATTCTTGCTGTTTTACAATGACGTCCCAATGTCATATTGATCTATCCAAAAATAGAATTATAATAATTTTTTTCCAAATTCTCTGGAGGTAAGTTTTCCATCAATATAATTCCTTTATTTCACATTTTGGAAAAGTTTGATCAAATTATCGATGAAGAATTGATTTCTTTCACTCCGGGTTGCACGTGCATGACTGACATCCGTCCGGCCCGCGGGGTCCTATTTCATAACTTCCGCCACAGTTAGCGATGCATCTCTCCATATCCATGCAACTTCCTATCAGTCCATGCACTGTTAAATATTCAAGATATGAATGTAAAATTAACATTTGTAATATATACACATAAATTGCATCTATTTTGCAAAAAAGTGAATGGATAAAACAGCTGCCGTCTGTTCAAAGAGCATTGTGAAAAATTCTTCAAAAAATTAGAATGGCAATCAATGTTTCACAATCACGTCTTGCTTTGTTTTGTTTTTTTGTGTGTGTGCGTTTTTTGTCAATAACAAATATATATTTATTAAAAAATTATTCACCATTTATATATAAAAAAAAAATGACGTTATTTTTTGTTTGGTAAGCATGTAATATAATTAATAGAAAAAAATCACCCACTTTTCCCATTTTTGGCGGAACATGAGGGACCAAAACACTCTGAATTGTAGGCCACCTTTTCCACTGTTACAGATAAAGAGACAATGACTTTAATTTGTAATCTAAGTACTATAATAAATATACAAGGTCATTTCTAAAAATGAATGGAATCTTTCAGAAATGAATGAAAAAGTTCTTATTCTTTTGTATCTCAAATAAAAGAAATCAAACTGAGTATACAAGAATAAAATCATAAAAATAGATATTCGTACCTTCCTTATCTGTTGGTTTGCCTGCCCCTGGACCTATTAAAGAAATTATAAATAAAACAAATAAATTTAAAAAAGAATAGATTAAAATTCCAGAGAGAGAATGAGAGAGAGAGAGAGAAAGAGAGAGAAATACCCATGGATAGCATTGGTCCTTGCATTGGATTATGACCCGCCCCTCCTCCTCCATTTGCCGCCGCCATGAAAGGAGATTTCATAGCACTACCCATACCTCCACTTGCTGCGGCGGCGGAACTCAGCGATGCCTTAAACGGTCCGCTCCCCCCAGATCCACCACCGCCACCACCTCCCATCATCATACCACCGGATCCACCTACAAAACAATACGAAAGGTTAATTTTAAAGCCTTTTATTAATACACGGGGTAGCTGCCGAACTGTAGCTCTCCGAAAAAAATATATATACTGAAAGGAAAAAGAAACGCAGGGTAAACTTTTGAGTTGAATTAAATTTGTTTTTCTTAAAATACTTTTTAGTTATCCTATCTAACTTTTACAATCATCTTTCAAAAAGATATAACCAAATTCTCATATGATTTTGTGTAATTATTCATGAGTTATTGAAGCTCAAATGACGATACCCCCCAAAAGGGAAAATCGAAAACTCTCATTATCTTCAATGTCCATCTCTTGCATCTGTCAGAGTTTTACTTCTCCTTTGCATGGAATTTCATCTGAGTGTTTATCTTTCAAACCCTGGCTATATTTAGCATGGGTAACAACGCAAAAAAATAAGTCAAACGACGCGCGCATGCGCCAGTGAGAGGAATATAACAGTAAGTTGACTGGCTCAAAAAAACAAATTGTGGAATTGTTTTCTTTCAAATTTCGTATGAATGTAATGATTATAACCGTGTATACTATAAATGGCTGTTTTTGTGGTAGTAAGGTGGCGATTTAAGAGATGGGAGGACGAATAACCCGCTCGTAACATGGCTCTGTTTCGCGTTAACGTCATCGTCACGGTTGATTGAAATCCACTCCAGACCCTCTCTGACAACGGCTAAAAAGTTTTATGGGGGAAAATTTACAAGAGACTGCTTAGTAAACCGTTGTTGCCTTTTTCATTAATTAGGCAATTCGAAAACAAGACCCCATTGAACTTCCGTAAACTGTGCCAAGATTGCAATAAATTCATAATGTCTCTTAATATTGAAAAACGATGTGCATACCTCATATGCCTCAAATAATGCAACAAGATTTGTGAAAAAACACGCCGTTATCAAATTGCACGTGTTTTGGGCTTTTTAGCGGTTTCCCTACGTGACGTCATAAATTTTACGGTTGAGTAATTCTGAATACTGATTTTGATGCACAGTAACTAAATTTCCCATCTGACCAATTTTCGTAATTATCGGTCATGTGGTCAAATTTTTATCGGCAATTATGCTACCCTGCGTTTCTTTTTCCTTTCAGTATATATTGACAAAAATTTGGAGAGCTACAGTTCTGCAGCTATACCCTGTCAGACTACATGTGGATTGCAGATTACATTTAGTACTCAGTAAGCCATGATTCAAAATAATCTATACTCAAGGGAAATAAGACGAATATTTGGCTGATAAGAGTTACCTCCCATTCCCATGCCTCCTCCTGAACCACCCCCGGTCATACTGGCACAAAACGGACCCGCACACCCGCCGCTGGATCCGCCTATGAATACACAATCGTTTACATTTTTTTATTCCAAGCCTTATATTCTGAATAAGCCACCAGAAAAATACAAGTCTATTTAAACATCTTTTATAAATGTATTTCTACCTCAAATATTTGAAGTTCTTCCCTTTTTGGTGTTTTTCAAACACCTAGTTTTGGCACCTTTGCATTTGGATGAAAAAAACCAAAATTCTTTCTATTGAACACAAACCTTTCAAACGCTGTCATCTGACATTTTGATGGTCTCTTTATTTTTAACTTCTTGGTTTCAAAAGTACACACATAACTTACCGCTTGATCCAGCCGAGGGCATCATAGGATTACCACCTGTTTAAAGACAAAAATATTTGAAGAAAACGATTTTTTAGAATAAAAATAATTTAAGGTCTAATAATGACTAAAAAACATAGATGAGTAAAAACATTTTCATTTTTAAAACTGCAAATGACTACACATATTATATATATATGAATCATTATGATAACCAATCCTTACTTAATCAAAACAAAACCCTTGATCTAGACATTATTATTCTATAAAATGTAAACTTACATAAAAGTTATAAAATATATGAACAGATACTAGTTTTCTGTTGCTGATTTTAACATATAAAAAATATCTTTTTAATAACTTTATAATCGATTAGAAAAACGACAATTTCCTTGACCCCCTTTTCTTACCCCCTCCTGAGCTGCCGCTTATACAAAGAGGAAACTGACACTTGTCCCCTCCCCCGGAACCTGTACCGCTACCCACATCTGTAGAACATAAGTTCATAAATACAGACTGAAAAAGTTGTAATCTCTTCAAAAGAGGTTGATTTTGATTTAAACATATTTTATTGAATACAATCAATAAGATTGGACACAAGTTATGCCAACTTAGATTGTCCTCTCCAACACAAACAAAAAAAACAAAATTATATACACGTGATGTACAAGCAACAAATATACAATACAAAAAAAGAAGAAGGAAAAGGTGCAGAAAAATAAGAAAGGAGGGAAATGGGAATGTAAGAAGAGAAGAAAGAAAGAGCTAGGGGGGCTGTAAAAGATATAGAATTGTTACACTGGTAATCCATAAAATCTTTTCGATTTTTTAATATAATTATTTATGAACGGCTTTAACAATGTTGAAATTGTTTTGTTGACCCAAATTTGGGTCAACAAATAAAATTATGTCAAGGTCTATTAATTGCTAAGTTGTTATTTTGTATAGTGTGAGATAATTCCCAAAAGAGAATATAGACTTTTGAAAGTATGTGAATGATTAAAAAATTAGAAACTCGTTCTTGGACGATTTAGTTCACTGAAATGTAATAAAATCAAGGAATTGATATTGCAAGTTTTTTCCCAATACATATTGAAATATTACTCAGTCTGATACATCGTCGCAAAGCACGGCCAAAATGTACGATCTCTCCATTCTTGTGGGAGAGAGCTATATCCAAACTGTGGCTTGAGACGATGAGTCTGATAGAGCAACAAATAAAATGGGACAGACACAGAAACTCGAATAGAAAAATCAAATTCAGGATAATTTAAAAATCACAGAAATAATTTCAACTCAAATTAAAGACAGTACGGTGGCATATTTAGGTCACGTAATTATTTTTTTAAGTACCACCGTAAGGCCGATCTAGCTTGTACATGCATTTAATATTCTTCCAAACCAAATTAATCAAACCCCTGCCTACTGTTTAGAACACTATTTCCACTTCCTGTCATTCCACTACCACTTCCTGTATTCATCCCGGTCATCCCCATGCCACCACTTCCGGCTGTCCAAGTCTGCATCCCGCCTCCACCATTATTGTTGTTCCCACTGTTATTGTTGTTGTTATTGTTGTTGTTGCTGTTGTTGTTTGATGTCTTATCTTTGCATCGACAGCTGGGGCATCCGTCAGACTTTCATGAAAAAAGTAAAGACAGTTAGA